ATCCAGTAAAGCCCACAGAAGTTAAGGTGAAACGAGGAGGAGGAGATTTCATTGACGACGGTCTTGTTGGAAGCTTCGACAATATTGAAGCAGGTTGGGTTCGATAGGAAGAGACTTGCAGAGATAAATCGACGAAACGACAGGCAGACTAATAATAATGGTGATGAAATGATCTTTACTTACATTTCCAAACTCTATGCTTGCATTTTATCTTTGTGACCATATCATTTTCATATTTAGATGTTTATTTTGTTTAATGTGACTAGTGTGGTTTTATTGTTCGAATCTTGAAAAATTTTGATCTCTCGTCTCATTTTATGAAATCCAGTCTTATTTGTTTAATAACCATTTCTCAGAATTTTGTCTTGTATTTAGTGAGAAAAATCTTTCAGTCTCCTATTCTTCTACGAAAGGGGTTACTTTTGTGAATCGAATCTTTCATGTTAAGCAATCAAGTACGATGTCATTTAGTAGTGCTGGAGATTGGTTTAGAGCTTAATCGTGGCTGCGGTTGTTCGAGTTAACGCGGCTGCGGTTGTTCGAGTTTGCAGTTGAGCGTTTCCATTTATTTAAAAGTATTGAAATGACTGGTGTAGTACATCGGAAAGATGTGCGAGTGGTTGGACCGTTGGAACTTGGAATGTATAAAATTTTCTAACTAAAAATGCGTATTTTAAGGATTATATTAATTTAGTTTTGTTTTTGTTTTTGCAGCACTAAAAATATCATTTAATATCTAATTAAAAATATATCAACCAATAAAAAAAATTACCACAAAATAGAAATGGTTACATACATTAAATATTGCATAAAAATTTGTAAAACATCTTATAAAATAAAATAAGAAAATAATGCTTAAACATCTTATATAATGGGAGAGAGAGAATAATATACTTAGAAACCTACATTAATTATTTCCTTTCCACAATTTAATTAGAAGAGGAAACGAACCAAATCAGAGTTGGTGGTGAGAATGCGGTGGCTGGTGTGACATAGCGGTAGCCGGTGACATACAAACAAAACCAAAAGGTTGAGATATGAAGCATCCAAAACCAAAACTCAAATTTAAAGGATGTTAGAGAACGATTTGTTTTCTCAAAGCCAAAACAAAAAACTTCAAATTTAGTAACAAAAACATTCTCACACACAAGAACTTAGAAAAGAGACTTAACCACAATCACCAAGCTTACCACTACATTTTTCTTATCTTCCTCCTCATCAACAAAAGAGATGAATTTTGTCAAACACACATGATATTTAAATTCAAAAGCGAGAAACAACTATGACAAATATTAGTTTTTCTAACCTTAGGCATTTACCACTACAAAGAGGATATTTTCTTCTCAACCTTGAAGATTAATGGTGATGAAGTGAGATTTACTTACATTCCAAACTATATGCTTGCATTTTATCTGTGTGACATTATTTGTTGCATATTTAGATGACTATTTTGTTTAATGGGATAAGGGTGTTCTTGTTGTTTAAATCTTGAATTTTTTTTATCTCTCATCTCATTTTATGAATCCAGATCTTATTTTGTTAAATCAAAAAGTCACTCTCAAAGATGCCTCTTCAAATTCCAAATGGTCTAAACACGATATTGCCCAAGTAAGAGCGGTAGCTTCAACTTCGAAACAAGATTGAAAGCGAGGATATATATGCATTGGCACTAATTTAATTCACTAATCCTTTGTCAGTTCTTAGAATCCATCCTATTATAAACCGAACAATTGGATCCATCGTACTAAAGTAGAAATTGTAGGCGTGGGTTGTTCGAATTTACGGAAACAAGAATCCAATCCTATCCTCAAAGTAGGAATTATATAATTTGAATCAAAAATATATGTTAAAAAAACGAAGTACTATACTAATATAATTGATACTGTGGATCTTATTGAAAACAGACTTCGGGCTTTAGGTTGCTAAGGCTGTTCGACAGTAAGAGTTACAGAGATAGGTTTGGGCTAGCGAATTGGTAATGGCTCATGGGTAGGTAGTTGTATCTCCAAGAACAAAGAAAAAAAGGAAACAAAAGATCTATATAAGGAAGACGACTTCTTTGAGATCATCATCACAATTATCACAAGTATCACAAGGATTACAAGTTTCTTCTAACGCTTAGGGTATACATATTTTACTTTTAAGTTTTTCCTCTTTAATCTCTCTAAGAAATCTCTTAAAAGTAACCCTAGACTATAACCGCCATTGATAAGGCGTGTATATTGCTCTTGTTCTTCTTTCTAGTGGAGTTTGGGATCTAGAGTATCCCACGCATGGGCGGATCCATATAAGGCAGGGTGGGTGCAAGTGCACCAAGCATTTTTTTTTATTTAGTGTAATTTCTTTAAGCATTAAATTAGTGCCCACATTAGATTTGTGCCCCATTCCTTTTTAGAACCAAAATCTTACCAAATAAATTTAAATTTATTTCCAAAATTTAAAGATCTAAAGTCATATTATCATACATAATTAGGTTATCTAAATAAATGCGTAGATCATTTTATTAGGAACATTTATTCAAATATTAATAAGTTATATATACAATAATACAATTAACAAATATAATTTATTAATTTTGAATATATAAAATTATCTTTCAATGTAAAATTATGCACCCACTAAATTAAATTTCTAGATCCGCCCCTGATCCCACGAGAAGTAGCAGTGCGTTGCTGGGAACTCGTTAATTTCTTATGTTATTACTTTCTGCAAAATGAAACACAAGAACGAGTTAGAACAATAGAGTTAGCTTCCGCAAAAGAAAACTCAACGAGTGGTATGAGAGCATCCAGGGGATTGGTCAGGACGGCTAGGATTTGTTGGGAAAAGAGATCGGTGTCACAGATCTTACCGAAGAGACGATTTTTGGTGATCTGAGCTGTTGGTGATTGCAGCGAGAGACGGATCTGTTGGAGGCTTGCGACATAAGTAAGAGACGAAGAAGTAGGGTACAGATCTTGGAAATAATCAAAGGCTCTTGATTATTGGAGGCCAATTCTGTGCAAAAAGTTCATCGAACAAAGAATCAAGGTTAAAGAAAGAAAATATAAGATCAAAGAGACGAAATAAAAAATAAGATCAAGGCAAGAAGATTACCTTTATCAACTCATGTGATTTCTGATAAAGCTTTGTGAATCTTTAAGTCTTTCTTCTGTGTTATCATGTGGCTGTTACTAGGGTTTATTGTCTCTATTGATACTGCATTTAAAACAAGAAACAAACAAAGTTAGT